ACACACACACACACACACACACACACACACACACACACACACACACAGACACACATTTCTGCCTTCCCTCCAAGGAGTGGAGGAGGACGTGGAGGGGAGGGGTGGGGAGGCACGAGGCGGCTGAATGCAAGCGAGTGGACTTAAATGCCAGGGAGACAAAGGCTGCACCTGGTCCCCGTCCGTCCACGCACACCACCACAATACAGCACACATCTGTTCCTCTATCCTGTGGTCCATCCTGACCTCCACCCACACACACACACACACACACACACTCACACAACATCCACTTATAAAAGAGATTATTCAACATGGTGTCTCTCAAGTGTCAGGTTGTCGTTATAACCTCATAACGGAAGGACAAGTTCAAGGACTTTTAGTATTTTAGAGACTTTTCGGTGTGTGCATGGTGTCAAATGTCTGAAAATCGGGACACACGTGTCCCGTCTACTTATTTCAATCAACTTAATTCATACTATTGCTCTCTTGGGACTGACGCCTCCTCAACTGTTGCCACAACACAGTTGACTCACTTCCACGTAAGCATCACCGGATACTTTTTTGAATATAATGACACGCTACATGTTACAAATCTATGTTTTGCGGGTTATTTAAAAACTTGCATTATTTTTTTATTTACTTCTTTATTAAAGCCAATTGAAGACAACATTTGCCAATATCACTGCATACCTTTTACTGACCATGCAAGAGTGTTAAACAAGCTTTGCCTTTAATAAGAAATTAGTCTGAGGCGCCAGAGGCTGAGAAGGAGGGATGCGCGCAGAGGGAGAGAGATGGGAGGAAGGGAGGGAATAACAAGGAGAGAAAATACTGTTTTCGTTTGGTTTCATCAGAAAGACAAGCCTGGTTGTCAGACTCGGAGCCGGGCTGTTTTTCTTGGCTCTCCTTACCACCGTCCAGCCCCGTAGACATATTTGGACAAAACCCAATGTCAACACTCTGCTCCTCACTCTGCTAGGGAGGGGAGAGATGGGGAGGTGGCAAGGGTTGACTGTAAATGGGGGGGGGGGGGCAAGAGAAAGACGTATACATAGGAACATGTGAGGAGACACACACATGTTCCTGAAGTGAACCCTGTGGCAGCGAGAGACGAAATGACTTTGTCACTCACTGAGATAAGTACAATAACATGCCGTGAAAAAAGGGACCCGGGGATGGAAATGTACTTAGTGGCCGAGCGAGAGAGAGAGAGAGAGAGCGAAAAAAAGGGGACTGCAAGGCGGACAGACGTCTCCCATAAAAACTAAGAATGAGCAGTAAAAGAGGCGCAGTGATGTGATGCTGGAAGCAGAGGGGGGAGAAGAGGTTTGGCAGATGCTGGACAGCCAGAAGGGAACAGTGTCCACGTGTGCATGAGGTCAGACCGCAGGGAGAATATACTGGATGTGATTCTAAGTTAGTGACTTTATTCTCCAAAATACATAAGTTATCTCTGCATGTTTCGTTGCTGCTGCTACTATTGTAAGAATTGTAACCATAACATTGTAAAGGATTAGAGAAAATAAATAGCAACCAACAGCAGCACATCCAAGTTGTCAACTCGTATTACGTACTAGATCCATTCTATGTCCCAGCGTAACATTATAAGCAGGCAAGAAGGCCCATGTGTAGAGTAAATTCAAAGAAAATGAAGTAAAATTGCACGTGTTTGACAAAGACTCACACTTGTCGAGCTGTAGTCGGCCTCTGTTACAGGCTCCACCGTCAGTAGATGTGTAGATGTGTGTCATCAAGTAGATGTGTGTCATCGTGTGTGTGTGTGTGTGTGTGTGTGTGTGTGTGTGTGTGTGTGTGTGCTGGCCTTGTGTACCAGGTGTTGGATTTGTCATTGGCTTAGTGGAGAGAGGCCTGAAGTGACACACACACCTGTGTGAAATGGCCAGCCTAAGGCACGTGTACACACACCCACACAAATAACAATTGTGGCAAAACGGAGACAATTCAAATCTGTCAATCATCACCTCGACTCACAAAAGCTGAGACACACACACACACACACACTTAAGCAGACTCTCCCACACCCCCTTCTCCGAGGGGCAGTAGATTATGTGCCTATCTGGTTACAACCCATCTCACCTCTACGTAACTAATTGGTTAGCCTGCCCATCAATCATCCTGAGCCTTTAAACCCAAGACTGCAAAGAGAAAAACAATCAGCTATTTGGGAACATGACAGCATTAAAACTAAGTTGCGTTGCCCTTGTCCCCCCCGGCATGTTTACTCTCAGGGTGAAACAGAATTATATGATGACAGAACAGACTTATAGAGCTCCCCTGACAAGCAGTGAAGATGTACATCCTCGTGTGTGTCTGGAGGATTAAGTCTGGATAGCTCCTATCCATTATAAACCCAGACAATCAACCTAACCGGCAGCCAGGCAAAACACTGTTTCTCCTCGGCTCCGTACTTCGGTGTCATACATATACGCAGGCACACACTCTGAACCAGTAAATTACGGTAGTCCATAAAACTAAATACGAGCTCTAGACATGACAAAACAAAGCAAGCATTAAGAACGGCCTGTTTCAGACCAGGTGTCAGAGGCTTCGACAGCCAAATGGCCCGGGCTCGGGTCCAACCAGATGTTGCTATCACCACGGGCCATGCTGAAGACATTTACACAGCCTTGCTTGACCCACACTGAGTGCGTTGGTGCAAAAGACTTCCAATGAACATGTGGGCAGAGGGTCGAGGTTTCTAGACATGAAGCATGGCGGTGCATGGACGTACACAAGTTGTTTTGGAGATCTTCCGTTTCAGGTTTGAGACAAAAGAAATAGATTTGCTGTCATGTCACGAGGTGTATCACTGCGTGAAATGTCGGCATTTCTCTGATCAGGCTTTCCGGGAGTCACACTGAGCACATAAAGCTGGAACTACAAGCCTTACTGTATTGTAGTAAGTTATAATCCTTTCCCCACGCATGGACTCAGGTTTTGGGGATGCAGTGAATCAAAGCTGAGCAGTGGATACAGTATGGTCCATGGAGTCCATTAAACAGAGCTGTGTGTAAGCTAAGCCCAAAGCAGCACGAAAGATCCAGAACTCAGCAACCACTGATAGGGACAGATAAGTAAAATAAAGAGGCCAGCTGTGCACGAAACAATGAGGAGAGTGAGACGGAGATAGCTGTGTGTGAGGATGAGTGTATGTTTGTGAATGTGTGGGCAGAGGCCTGTTGCGCACATTGTATGGGTTTGAGCGCACATGTGTTTAAGAACACAGTGTTTATTATAAGACGGTCATGTCTTGATAACAAACACAATTCTTCTTGATAAAGTAAAGTAAAGTAGGATTATAATGTTGGTCCAACATAAAACTGTCGACAAGAAAGTGTCAATGAGTGTGTGTGTGTGTGAGTTTTTTGTCTCTTTTTTTGTAATAAACAAAAACATTTGAATCCACGCTTTCCCAGAAGGAGAAAGAGGGAAAGGAAGAGAGAAAATAATGACTATGACTGACAGTTCATGCAGAGAGGCTGCAACACCCATTTCTTATCCGCCCACACAATTAACAGCACAAAGCGTGTACAATTTTTCTGTGGCTCTTGCACGTCCTCAGAAGTATCAACTCTTGCCTTTTGGGTTTTTCCAATTGGAAAATGACAGTCTTTCCAGGAAAGTCTGAATGCATCCTGTTGCCTCGGCTTTTCACAGATGCTCACAAAACACCAATGTCCCTTCTGTTTATCTGTGTCTCCTTGGTTAAATATTGGAAAATTCAAGTTAACGACATCCTGACATAATATTTGTGATATTAACATTCAAATAACTCCGTGTAGTCTCTAGTACTGCTGAACAAACTGAGAAACAACACAATCTGGTACCTCTGTGCAGACTGCAAGTTACATCTCACTACCTTTTTTTCACAACTTCAAGCCAACAAGTCTAGACAAACCAAATATATGCAACAAATAAATGAAGAAAGTTGTACTGGCTCGCAAGCTCAAGACACAGATGTTTTTTTCCTCGGGAATCGGTGCGCTAAGCATTAGCTAAAAGGCTAACATTCGGTAGCCAGTGGGGCGCTCATGTTGATCCGTGTCAGCTGGATGAGTGAGTAGGCAAACGTTAGCAAACATGTCAGCAGCTGTGTTTTTGTGAGATTGTTATTTTGAAAAGAAAAAAAAAAAAAAAAAAGGTGCATGCAGCTTTAAGAGATCAAGTTAAATGTTAAAATGTTCCCATATTTTTTATTATACTTATTAGATTATATAGTTATAGATAATATTATTATTCTTGCATTTACACAGAACTTAAGACCTTGAATCAATTTGTTTGAAGAATTCGACTGAGGTCATTTTAGAGGCTTTTAATAACAATGCGCTGGTACTCTTCCCTTCTCAGACCACGCAAGCCCAGTAAAAAAAGAGTTCTTGTCTTGGGTCACTGAGCGGCTCTCCCAGGCCAGTAGAGAGTCACTAGACCCCGGAAAGAGACCTTTACTCATGCACTTAGCACAAGGAGAGGGGATTCCACAATGTCAATGGGGTTACAATAAAAGAGATGGGGGGAGCACGCAGGTGGTTAGTGCTCATTGACACAGATACGCGTCTGCACACTCGCTATCACACACACACACATCGCACACGGCCATTTATACTGTCAGGAGATGGTCCTAGTGATGAAATAATCTTTCATTACGCTACTTGTAGTGACTGAGCTGTTGCTGTTGAGTAAATGACCCGACCCATTCATGTCCACACATAAGCGAGCACACACATTTAAAACACACAACCTCTCATTGAACCCCTGGGGCCAGATATCACAGCCCTCACCACTGGAACTAATAGAGCACTTCCTGCATCTTGACACAGCTGCTCTATTCTGTGTGCATGTGTGTGTTGAAAATAAAAAAAAGGGGGGGGGGGGGTTGGGGGGTATTCTGTGCATGAATTCTTAAGATAATAGCACGGCGAGCAAGGGTCACGGTGGTCTGTTTCTCCCATTTATTACTAAACTT